GTCTAGCATAGCTAGCAAGTTACTTATAAGTCTAATAATGGGTATAGTTCACATCACAGGGCCCAAGGACTGGCTTTCAGCCCTTGATATATTCCCAAGTCTCCCTGAGAAGAATTTAGGGATACTCCATAAATTTTCATTCCCATCAGAAATCTCTGACCTTGAATAAAGTGATGTTTTACTTTGGGGGGTGTGGAGGCTGTAAAAACAGGAGACTCTTGTTGGTCTACAAAATATTTCCTAGAAACCACACAGTTAGGGCCTCTCTTCCAGTAGCTTCACACACAAAAAATAGAAAGAATGTCTTGTCATTCTCCTCTCAGGAGAGTGCTTAGCTGGGATATGATGGCAGAAGAGAAAATCAGCCCCTTCATCTTAAAGTTCTTGACTGCTGATTCGGATTCCTCTCTGAAAAAGTAATAGATACAAGTGTATCTGCATGAAGAACATATGATGGCAAAGACCAATCCTTTAAAATAGGTCAATTACCTGATGATTATATTGCAAAAAGATTCTGCCTGAAGGATTCCTTTTAATAAACCTAGTATAATTGTTTATTTGCAGATTATGTATTAGGTATAGAGAACTCTTTAATTTTTAGGTATCTTAAATATTAGCTAGAAATCAATACCAACTGAATCATTCAGAAATTAAATCAGAACATTTCTATTATTGTTTGATTTCAACGGGAAAATGTGATTTAATTTATGTACATTTCCAGAATGGTTTTATCACAAATGAACGCTGTACTGTGTATTGGCTCAAGAGTGGGAGTGAAAAGACTATTTCATATTTTCATTGGGCTTTGAGGCTGAGGCAGACTAGTGAGTGATAAGTTTTGTAATCATAGCCTCTCAGGTACATCAGCAAAATGACAGTGAGCTAATCCAAGGGTTCAACAAGTCAGTTCTTTCTAGCTAAGCTAAAAAAGTGGCAGAGGGGCTGAATGGATCAATGTAATTTAAAACTGGTACTAGTATTTTTAAGACTATCTTCAGCTTTCTGTGATAATGGGGCTGGAAAACTTCTTGGTATATCTAAAATAACCTTTCAGTCATGTAATTTTATAAATTTTAAGAAGGAAGGTACACCTGAAGAATAGTATTCAGGCTATTCTAAATGCTCATGACCTACAGCCTTCTTTTAAAATAAAATTGCCTCTTCTCTAAGGTAGCAGAGCAAACCTCCTGATAATGATGCCCCCAAAGGTTGACATCATCAGGGGCATTAATCTCTTAAGAATCCAGAAGCACTGACAGGCAGAAACCTGTTGCATTTAGATGCCAAGAATGCTGCCAAAATAGAATGGTTTCAGAGTCAGGTCACGTTCTCAGACCAACTAGGAGTGTGACCCAGCATAAGTTTTGGAACTTTTCTGAGCCTTAGTTTTGCCTTCTGTGTAAAGCTGATGTTTTATATACTTTAAAGGATTAAATATATAAATGTGCAAAACTGCTGAAGGCAATAGCTTGCACACAGGAGGCACTTGGCAATTGTTTTTAATGTTATCATTACTAGATTAAGCTCCTGTGGAGTTAAAACACTAAGAGAATGAATGGCCAGTCAGGTTGACCTTTGGTGAATAGATTTCATAAACTGAAGACTAATCCTTCCAGTGCGGGCAGGCCCTGGAAAGCAAAACCATGAAGTAGAACCTGGATCTTCCGTAGGGCCCCTCCTTTCGGAGCCCCCTACACTCCCTCTAGGCTGAACATCCTTACACAGCCCAGGGGGCTCCGTTTTAACACCCCATCAAGGCCCACTGTCCAAGTCTCCATAGTCCCCAGCCCTGGATCTTCCCCCAGTCCCTCCCCACCCCATCCTATCATTATTTATCTGCTCTCTGTTTAATATCTTTTGTTAATTTGCTTATGTGCGCCAATATGTAACCCTTTCTGAGAGCCTATGTACATTGTGACAGGGATCCCAGAACACTTATATGTGATGGTTGTCTTCAGAGGCAGATGTGTTGGAGGTAATAGAATGAGAGCTAACTGACTGCCTGCTCTGTGCTGGGGGCTGCAGATGTCCTTCATAACCATTGCCTCTCTTGAGCCTCATCACATGCTGTGAGCGAGTCCTATCATGGTCTGCACTGCACAGCTAAAGAGACTGAGGTTCAGAGAGGCAACGTAACTTGGCACGCTGGGAGGAGGCAGTGCCAGAATTCATTCCCAGGCCCACTGACTCCAGATCTGCCTCCTCACTTGCTTGCTGCCAGTGTGGGCAGGTCCTGGGACACTCAGATGCAGTCCCTGCCTCCCTAAGACTGACCCTGCTCCCAGGACCCAAACGACTTCATGCTTTCAGTCAAGTTAGTTGGAATCAAGATAGTTGGTAACTAACTTAAGAGAGGTACTAGAAAGTCCAGAGAGGGACACTGTAGCCACTGGCCCCCTGCCTAGCCCCAGGCTAGGCACTGCCCTGCGGGCTGTGCTCAGGTCTCTGCATGGCGAGAAGAGTCTTCTCATTTCCATCATCCACGAAGGAGCTGAATCCTGAGTATTTATATTTGTAAGAGTCTGAATGGGTGGTTAATTGGAGGGAGGAACAATTTATGAATATATTCTTTTATTCATTATTTATTATCTGTCATTTAACCGGATTCCAGAGTCTGTATCTAAAAGAAGAATCTCTGAATATACTTGTATCTTGCTCATCTCAGAATTTTCCTGGTCCAGCAACTCTTCCAAAAGTGGAGTAATGAATCTCCCAACAAAGTTGTATCTTGGGAAATACTGACTTGTGTCTATAGGACAGCATTTTCCCAGTGGTCATCTAAATAGTGCATCCGCATAGAGAAATTCAGAGTGTAGCTGACTGTTGTCAGGTGGGAAGAGAGAATGCTAACTAATGGTGATGATAATAGTAAGTCAGTATCACACTTACCAAGTGCTAATAAACCTTCTATGCACTGCTCTAGGTGACATCGTAGGATATACATTTTACATGTGGGAGTGGGAACAGTGTTCAGCCCTACTTACAGATGAGGAAATTTAGGCCCACAAAGGTTAAGCAATTTGTTCAGAGTCACAAAGCTAGCAAATGAAGCTACGATTAAACCCGGGCAATCTGGCTTCTAATTTTATTTCCTTGTACTATTAAACAACCAGTCCTCCTCTATCTGTTTATCAACTAAATCATTTTTATATTTTGGCAAAGAAGGCCAAAGCTAAAGTTTATTTTGTACTTGAAGCAGTCCTGCAAAGCCCTGTTGCAGAGTATGGGGGTGATAGTCTCTGCTGGCTGGCTGCCCCATTAGGATGGTGAGCTGGAATTAAAGATGAGTGATGTTGTGTCAGCTTTTCTCATCACTTTAGTAATTGTACTACCTTGACAATATGTCCCTCTCAGTAACACTGACACAGCTGTTTTTTTTTTCCCCACAAAAATATTCTTTGTCTAAACTTTCTGGTTACTTGTTATTGGTCATAACAGAGGAAAAGAAAAAAAATTAAAATACAAGTGCCCTCCAAATTAAACATGTGCAGATCTCTTCACCTCAAATTCAAACTTGATTCACTAAATATTATCTCATTTCTTTTTTGTGTGTGTGCAAAATTTAAAGACATTTTTCTTGTCTCTCCTACCTTCTTTCAGTAAAACTTAAATTTATTGAGAACCCTAGTGCAGAAAGTTTCTACTGCAAATTTCTAACTATTATTCTCTTTGTAAGTCAGATCCTGTAAAGGAATTTGATGGTGGCTGGGCTTATGTTTTCAGAGGATTAAGGGTTCCTGTTTAATGTTTTCAGTCTTTTGTTGAAAGACTTTGAAAGCAAGGTCAATAAAGCTGTTACCTTACCTTTCAATAATAAGAACCGGAAACTTTGCCATTTCTTTGCATGTAATGTTTCAAGTTCATCATGTGGCTCATGTACCATGTATATGACCTCCTGGGAGTTTAGTGGATTTCTGAGGCCAGGAGAAAACAACAGCTGCTGTGTCACACAGGACTCTACCCAGTGTCTGCTTGATGGAATCGCCGTAAACAGTTTGCCAGGATGCTTCAACACGACCACCTGGAAAAATGAGGATGGAACTTTGATTCTGGGAGGCATATGGAAATTTAATTACTAGGTTTACAAAGTATTTTAAAATCCCTAGATAAAAGTGACCAGAGGACTGGAGAAGAGTGTCTTTATTCACAGGAGTGAACTACTGAGGGTGGAAGCAGTCATTGAGAATCTAAGGCCCATGTCCCTTTCTTGGTCCTACCTTCTGCAACCAGCTTCAAGAGGAGGTGCAGAAAGAGTCATTTATTTGCCTTCTGGCTGTAAGAACTGCAGACCTCAACTGTGGCAATCCTAGCACTGAGGAGAAAATACACATAGGAAAAAAGAAGGCCATGTCTCACTTCCAAATTAAAAAAAGACATTTCTACATGTTTCCATAACCCACAGACTGCTGCCATTTGAGGCCAACCCCTCAAAGTTTTCCTCTTTGTCTAGTGTATTTGCTGAATCTAGGCCACTGTCAGCAATCCTTTTCATTCACCCAGACCCATCCCCACACCTCACAGATGCAGAGATTCTCCTGAGACATGTGTACTTTGGTATCAAACAATGCAACTCATGTTTGATTCTGGATAACCTTGCACTGCTGAATAAAATAACCCTTGAGAAAGAAGCAATAAAAGCTCTGTAAGAAAAATGACTCATGTTTCCAAGCTGTCTAAAGTGATCACTTATCCCAACAAATGGTAATTCTTTCAAGACACAGTGGGCATGCACCATACTTATAAAAGTCTGGGAGAAAAGCCTTGCAATCATTTTTTTGTTAATTTGTGTGAAAATATATCAAAAGAATATTTCTTGTAGGCTGTACCAGACAGGGAGTGCTCAAAAACAAAAACAAAAACCACATGGATATTAAAGCCAAGGTGGATGCGTGCAAGGGGTGGGGTGGGAGGGTCCTCGCGAACATGCAGGCTCATCGGCCTGCTTGTGTTCTTGTTTACGTATCTCTAATTGCTTTCCATTTTCTGTCCCCATTCGTTAGAGTGCAAAGATGTGAGCAAAGTGGCTTATTGCCCACTTGTGCTGAAGTTCGATTTCTGCAGTCGAGCATACTTCAGGCAGATATGCTGTTACACCTGCCAAGGACACTGAGCCACAGCCAATCAGAGAGCGAGCCTCGTCGCTTTGTCGTGGAAATGCGTCCATCAAAGGGAGCCGCCGTGAGGAAGAGGATTGATGTCCTTGCAGATGCATTACCCTGTGGAAAACGTAACCACTGGTCAGCCCCAGCTGACAGGATTTCAATATTATTTTAACTTCTGTGAAGTGCGATTTATTGATCCAAAGTGCTGGACACGGTGTTAGGAGGGAATGCCAGATTGGAGAGATCCAGACAAGACAGGGAGACTTGCTTACTGTGGAGCGTTTGTGTTCTTTTGAGTAAATCCAATAGCCTATTTACCTCTTTGGACCATTAAGATAATTATTATGGACTTAGCAATGACACTGAATCCATTTGTATTTAAAACTGTTTAAAATGTAGATGTTATGACTTGGTCAACCATGGAAGTAAAGAAGATTCAGAAATCTTAAGTCATAGCTTACAAACATTTACTATACTTTATCTCACTGCAACAGCACCACAATTTAAATTCTAAAATGGGCTTTGACCTGTAATTTAAGGAGCAATTATAAATCAAAAGTAATGAGAGTTTGTATCATTTTTCTTCATTCCAGTTAATTTCCTTAGGAATAATCCCCCTGTTCTGAACACTGCTGTGGGCCACATATAAACTATATTAAACTGAACAACAACGAAGGGCTTAGTTCCAAGCAGTGCCTCAGTTACTGCAGCTGTGCAAGTCTATAAATTCAGTGCTAAAAGACTATGGCCAGCCTGCCCTTGTGCAAGTGAAGCTGAGATTTCCATTAAAACTTTAAGAGAAAACACTTCAATTTCATGCAGCAGCCAGACCTGGGGTATGGTAGAGCCTGAAGTATCAGGCCCTTTGCTGCCATCATATAGGATGCCTCAATTCTTATTTGAGTCACCACAACTCACTTGTGTTTACATCCTCACCAGCCACAGAACAGCTTCTGCCCCATTGGTTTGGTGCACGCTTGTTGAGCTTACTGAGATGATACCATGCAAAGATAGACTGGCTCAGTATCAACCAGGCAGACCCTTTTGCTGACAGTTACGATGGGTTCCAGATGGCCCTTCTTTGATACGGCAGAAGGGCATTTATTTATATGAGAGCAAGTGTGTGTATGTGTGCAGGCGCTGTTGAGTGTGTGGGTAGATGTGTGTGCTTGTACAGAAATGTGCTACTTCTGTGAGTTTTAAAGTAGGCAAGGGAAAAACCAAAGAAGAAAAGCTCGTGAAGACTAGAGATCATAAAGCATACTTTTAATAGTCACTCAACCAAGTATTTTGTATTTTTTATGGATACTCTGAATGGCAATTAAATGTGAAACCCAGTTTCTTGGGCAAGTCAAAATCTAGAATCAAATTCACCTAAACTGAATTGACTAGTTCATTTTCCCTATCCCCATGTTTTACATCATGCTTATCAAAAGATTCAACAGTGAGATTAGTAGAAAGAAAAAAAAAGAGAGGGTACTTGTTTATATTAGTATTTTGTACTTGAACACTTGTATCTTGCAGTGGGGACCTGATGAATGTGCTTTGTGCCCACACATGTGTGCCCCATGCTATGCCAAACTGCAGACTCAAACCAAATGGGTACTTTGTAAGGATACTACTTGCAGTTGAGGAATATGTGACTTAAATCCATTGCTATGCTCTGAAACTACATGTCAGGTATATCACATATACCATGGCCTAACGTGCATGATTAGGATTCTTCAGAAAGGAAAAGGCACTCACAGATTTACAAAACCAACCTAGACTTCAGGTTTGCTATGGACAGCTGGCACAGGATCTTCTGCGCACTCTGCCCTGGTCATCTGTATCTCCTCACTTGCTTTTTCTCTCAACACCACAGCTCCCATCCCTGAGCTTTCCAGAGAGGGCTGTTGACAATACCCGTGAGTTGCCAGGTCTCCTATCTCTGCTGCCCTCAGACCAGCCCAAGTGGTATCTTAGCCATCCAGGGAGGGGAAGGTAGCCCGTGAACAGCATGGCCCCAGCACTGAACACTCCCTTGGTGCCTTGCAAAGAGCAGTTAACTGGTGCCGATGTGCCCTGGTGAAATAAATGAAAGATGGTTTCCATAGCATTTTAGATACAGGTTTGCTAAATACAGGTTTGCTATCAGGATCTACTTCTCCAGTATAAATATCAGATCATGTTTGTATTTCAGACAGATTTCTCACATTACTGACTAAAATCTGTTTTTCACCTCACCTGGAAACTAGCATTGTGAAGGCTGTCCCCCCCAGGCCTCATGCAGCACCCCCGTTGGTACTAGTGGTCCCTCTGGAGTGCACACCAGCACTGAGACCAGAAGGCAGAGAGTCCCCAGGGGCCACATCTGGATTACCTTTCTAGAAGGAATCAAACACAGACTGCAACAGGACTAAACATTTTCAATAGGCCCTGAATTTAAAACTGAGTGGGAAAAAAATCATATTCTACAGCACATCACATAGCCACTGCTACTCTGTAGTCAACATGTGGCTACATGATACTTTATTTCTAAAGAATAACAAAACAATCATCAGTGGAGGCTGAGCCTCCAAAAGTAGTGAGCTCTAACTTCTATAGCTTTTCTTCTTCCTTCCTAATTACAACCCTTTAGCAGAATTAGTGCCTCATATCGAAAATTACCGAGTTTCATAATTCCTCCAAGTGGTAAAGATACCTCAAGACAAATGCTGGGCATAGAAGCCACAGGGCATAAATCTGCAAAGAAGTAAAAAGCTAACCTTTTCAAAGAATATTGCTTCTCTCTCACTTACCAACTTTACATTTCCCTGTATGGCCCCGGAAGATGACTGGTTAGCCAGAGACGGGTAAGATTCCTCAAGGGAGGAACAACCTAAGACAGGCACAGTCGCAGGGGGGCCATCAGGAGAGAAATTGGGGACCAACAGAGGGGAGGCTTAGAACCTCACCCCCCCCTGTTTTGAGAGAAATCTTCTGCATCTGTGGATGTTTTGTTGCCCTTGTCTAGCTTGGATTAATACTTAGTCTATAGGCACAGACCTGATCATCTACATTTGCCCTCTTAGAGCACTAAATTATGTTTTCTCTTTATCTTGCATCTACCTACCACTTCAGCATTTTATTAAAAAATAATAATAATAAGGGAGAAATGTGGGATTCACATATAAATCAAGTATAAAAAATCAAATGAATAATCATATCTGACTTGATTGTTTATAGTTCATGATGCGTGATCAAAACTGAAAGTTTCTGTGATATGACTGCCCTTGCACTGTTCACCATGTAAGAACTTATTTACTATGTAAGACCTTGTTCACCATGTAAGAACTTGTTTGTTATGCTTCAGAGGATTGGAGACTGTTGAGATACAGGCTTGGGGTTGATTAATGACTGTGCATTGAGTCCCCTATACAGAATTTTATTGTTGTTAACCATTTGATCAATAAATGAGAGATGCCCTCTCAAAAAAAAGAAAAGTAGTGAGCTCTACAGACTAATTAAGGAACCCCAAGAAAACTGGTTACCCCATGGCTTAGAGCAGTGTCCGCCACTGGCATAAAGGCCTCCCAAAAAAGGAAAGGCAAACGTACCCAACCAATTCAACCCCTTGAGATACATGAACTCCCCAGCCAGTCCATTTCATTGGGAATTTTTTTGAGTGAATGTTGCATAGGTATCCTTAATAATACAGAATGAAATTACCTTTGTATTATTGTGATTAGTTGTTGCTTATTATTTTATACTCAGTATTAATGTGGTACACTGTTAACTTTTTTTTTTGCTTTTGTAAATTATATTCTAATTTATTGCCATGTTTCCTAACACTTGTCCTACATTCATTCTCCTGCTTGTAATGAAAATGAAAGTCATTGTAACACTTGATGGAGTGAAATTCCACACCAGGCACAGATTTTTTTAATATAGATAATTTAGTAAAAATAAAAATTCAGCTTGTAAGAATAATTCAGATGGAAGTTGTCTATTCCCTGAAAAGCTGATATTAAACTTGCAGTAAGAGGACTCTATCCCTTGAAATGCCACACTACATTATCAGTTACCCAGTTAGTCTCCAGGAGTGAGATCATTTGTTACATCCTTATTACCCTACTCAGAGATTGTACTGATTTGTATTTCAGTAACATATACATGTAAGGGCTTCAGATATTTCTGGTGGAGCTCTATCCCCAGATGCCACCAGTCAGCTATTCTAAGGCTAGAAAGGAAGTCCAGATTGGCTACTGCCATATACCTTCAATCACTTGGCCAACAACTCTTCTGCCCCCTCCTTATTTTGTCTCAGATATAATTCTTTAGCATAGAAGAGGATCCAAGGTATTTCATTGTGGAAAAAGTGCTGAACAAAGGAATTCATACTAATGGTTCAGTTGGGGGGGGCTATCATATGGAAATGTAACTCAGCAGTTTTTAAAACTCAGCAGCTAATCTGAAGGTGACATTCCTGCATGCTTTGCTGCTTGAGTACATTCATCATGACATCATCAATTACATAAGAAGATGTGGAATGCCCAAGCATGGTTGTACTTTAATCCACTTAGCCCCGTGATCCATACTTACACATTCAACCTTATACATTAGAAGAAATCAGGTGACATGAATGGATAGTCTTGGGGTTATTTCCCCAAGGTCATACTAGGATCCAAAAGTGGCTACAGTATTATGAATGCTCAGTTAATGAGAAGCCCCTTACACCAACTGGTTTAATTCCCCACTGTATTTGCGAAGGGTGGTTCCACTAGGGATCTGGGAGTAGAGAAGACCAAGAATCAAGGCTTGTCTTAGCTGAGATTCCTCAGATTCTAGCTTATCTTTCCATCTACAGTTGTTTTCAAGCTTCCAGTTGGATGTTTTTTTCCGTCTGGAGCATCCGAAGGGCCCTATACTGCTAGGACCGAAACCCCAAAGATAGTCAGCCACCCATGGAGATTTTGCCACTCTGCAGAGAACACTAGGATCATCCCTATGCCTTTGTACTCCAGATAACATCTCTTCAAGTAAATTAAGAAGAAAGTCGAATACTGATCTTGGTAACAAAAATGTCTGAATTTGTGTGGCTAGGGTAAGATTCATTACTTTTAAAGGAAGGGAACAAAAATATAATTAAGGAAGGAAAAAGAAGTCACAACCTAGGAGGACTGGAAAATTCTAAATAAATGGTCATAGAAAAGATAAAAGATCAGTCACTGAATAAAAAAGTGGTAGATAAGCTGTGTTTGGGATTCTGTCTCATTCATATCATCAGAACACTTGGAATAAACTAACATGTTTTTAAAAACAACACCTGTTCACATGGTTTTGTACCTCGGATTTCAAAACCTCAAGCTGGAACTTAAAAGGAAAATGGTCTTTCCTCCCCTTTCTTTCTCAGAGGGTTATTTCTAGCATTCCTTGTCCCTCATTTTATCCACAGACAGTATCTAAGGCCAGAAATGCAACAGCGGTTTGAGGGCTGACTTCACTCTGTAGGGGAAACTGAGATCATGCCCATATAATCTCTTGGTCGATGGCTCCCTTTGGCCCCCTGAAAGCCTTGAGCTGCAGAGGTGATGAAAGCTAATTTTCCCAGCAATGTTCTGTCTTCACCAGAAGGATACCGTGTGATTGCATAAGGGCGCAATGGCACCTGATGTCCCTGGTTTCTAGGAATTAGGGAGATTGAGTATTCCCATTTGTCACAGGGCACAGAACATTATCCCTGACCAGTCAAATTCCATTGCCCCAGACCTTAAGCCTTGTGGAATTCAATCAAGAGCCATCTTCTTGGATTGTGGCTTGGATACCTCACCTTAGAGGGGTCTCACATAAGATGGCAAGTTCTATCAGTTCCAGGCCTTCCACAAGTCAGAGTGCATTCCTCAGGCCAGTGGCTCAGTGGTGGGCAACTCTACTTCCTCAAGGATAATGTAATTCTTGGAGGGGCCTGGTCTGTGTGCAGTTGTGGATAGAAAGCCACCTGATGGCCCCATGGAGCAGTAAATGTGAGACGAGGCTCCAGAAAGCAGCAGGAAGTTCCAGTCCAGGGCAAGTCTGGGCCTCTGTGTCTGCAGAGTGCCATCAGCCATGGTTGTTCACTTACACAACCAGCATTTGCCGGGTACCCGTTGTGCCAAGGTTCTGTGCTAGGTTCTTTACATGTGCTCTCTCATTGAATGTGTTACAAGAAAACTGTGAGGATGATACTGTCAATCCCCATTTATAGATGCCAAAACTGAGGCTCAGAGATATTGAGGAAGTTGCCAGTGGTCACAGAAACAGTGAAGGGAGTGCCACCTCTTCAGCAAATTTGGAAGGGAGCTGCCTGGTCTGCATTTGCAACAGGGAAGTCAGACTCTTCTGCCAGGGAGAAGGTGGCTTCCCAGGCCAGTGGAAATGGGGTCCTCCTTCCTGGGAAGCAGTGGGTCCAAGGCCTTGAGAGGGGCCTCAGGGGTCAGGGAAGGGTGAACTTCAGCTCCCATCTTGGTAGGTGGTGGTGTTGACTATGACATTTCCTGTGTCTGGTGAAAAATCATAAGTGAGGCTGCAAAGTGGTTTCCAAGTATGCCATTAGAGGTCATAGGCACAGGAAGAGGAGGATAAGGAAGGTCGGAGACATGCAAGAGTGGACAGTGTCTTCAGTGGCTGTTAGCAGCCAACACACGAAGGTTTTCACCTCCCTTGAAACATTCTATTTTGAATCATACGTAGAGCCTCCCCGTCTGGCAGGCCCCCACACCATTTCCAATGGCAGAAGGCCTTGCTGACCTATTTCATCACAACTAGAGAGGATTATTCCTGTGTTGGCTTTGGGATGTTTTGAGAAAGAAAGGTGGGTTTCTCTCTGCTTCGGTCAGAGCAAGGATCAGCAGGGCTTGTGAAGCTCAGGCCATCGGGTTGCTGCCAGCAAGCACATTCTTTGACCTTCTGTGGTGGGTCCACAGAGTGGAACCAGGTGTTCTTTCAGCCCATGCCAGAATGTATTGGCCGCCCAACTGGCCACCTGCCTCTACCCCACTGACGGGGTTTTGGCTGGCCCTCCACCAAACAGCTGTGCTGGGAGCCACAGGTGGCCGCCCACACTTGTGCCCAGGCCAGCAGCTACACTGGCCTGACTCAGCCTGGCAAGACTGACCTTGTGTGCCACTGCCCTGCCCCCGGGATCTTCCACCAGCCAGGTCACTCTGGGGACCAGGGAGAAGGAAAACCCAATCTTAAATACGCTATGGAAACGCTTTGTGACCCAGAGACCATCCAAAAGCATACTATTCCGTTCTGTTCCTTCAGTATCATCAGTTTTGATATTTTATTTTTAATCATTCAAATTAATCTGATGTAAATGAATAGACATTTAGTTCCTGTTTTTTTAGGGGGTGAATCATTGTTATAAATCTCCTGGTGCAATGTATCTATTTAAATGTAAAGGCAAGTGAGGATGACATCCCAACTTCAAAAAAATAATACCTGTGAAATCATCCTAGTGTCTAGATAATAACTACATATAAGAGCATTATTTGATATACTGAAAAAATATCCACAGAAGTGGCATATTATAATATGAGTGTGAATTAAAGTGTTTGGTAAAAAAAAAAAGTTACCTCAGCCAAACATATTTGTCATTTCAGCCAAATACATCTTAGATAACCTATTATTTTAATTGCAATAAGAAGTAAATTATTCATAG